AACAAAATTAATATACCCTTGTGCACAAGTGCGCTCGGGTATAAAAATAGGAAGTGGAAAATACATATCTAGATATGTAACAGCTTTGAAAACGAAAAATGCAGTGGTAAGCAGAAATCAACAAAATTGTAACGCTGACCGCTGTGAACCGAAAACAAATTTCATAGCGCGCAGACAAACACACACACACACACATACATACTTACATAAACAGCAGTGGACCAAAGTAGACGAAGGCGTTTGCAGAAGGGCGCGCCAAGCAGTGGGGTAGACGCAACAAGTCATTGGGCCAACGCTGGCTTGCATGCGGACGGACAACTGCTGGACAAGAAATGACAAATGATTGGAAATTTATTTGTTTTCTATGGCGTTTGGAGTTTGGCCCCGGCGTGCTGCTGCTTTTGTTTAGCGCGTTGTTGTCTTATTTTTATACATACATACATATTTTTTGGCATTTTATATATATATTTTTTTCAATTTTAGTTGACTCAATTGATTTTGAGCGCAACTGCAATGCAACGAAATTTGTTATTGCAAGTTTTGGCGTTTTCGGCTGCCAGCTGCCACCCACTACACCCCACACCACTCAGCCACTGCTGACAAATACATACAACATTTTCATACATATGTTCGCGCGCATAAATCTATTGTACATTTCTCGCCCTGTTGACTGCTTTTGTTTTTATTTTTTTTTTTTAGTTTTATATATTTTATAGCTTGTTTTTTTTTTATTCTTTAGCCAATTGTTGCCTGCATTTTACTGCTGCTGACTGCACAAAATTGTTGTCGCTGTTTCTGCCACAGCTGTTTTTCTTATTGCTTAGCATAGCATTTGCCCTACTCACGATTTCGATTCGCACGCTCGTTATTTTTGTAATGCATTCTTCTATTGTTTATTATTGTTTTCACTCTTGTTTTTTTTCCTTCTTGCTGCTGGTGCAACATTTTCTTTTCCAAAATATTTGTCGCATTGTTTGGCGTCGATAAGTTGTTGATAAACGGCAGCATATGAGTATTATAAGCACACATACACACACACACACACACACACACATGCACACAATTAAAGAGATGTAAACAACTCCATACATTTGATGTCTGCTTATGCGCTCCAATGGGGGCAAAATTTGGGCGGCTTGAGCGAGTGCGGTTGCGGGCGTTTGTCGCCGTTTTAGTGAAAGCGCTTCGCTTGCCTGACTTCATGGGCGCTTTTGTGCCTACATTTTCTCACACATTTCAATAAAGAAGTAGTATTTTTGTCATTTTCTTAGTAGCCGAGATTTATTTGTTATTTTATCCATAGTTGACGTCTTTTCGTAAGAAAAGTGAATTTCAAATTTTACTTTTACTTTCTAGTGACATAATACGCAATTCTTTCTTTTAACAAAGCCCGTCCTCTAGGTGTATGTTAAATATTTGGCTTTTCATGCAACTTAATCAATCAACCTCTGTATTTGTATACATATTTAAATTTGTATATGACAAAGTGTGAATGAGATTAATTTGCCTCTGTTCGGTGAATTTTATATTCAAAAGTCATGCCAGCTTTGTTGGAGACACTTTCATTGCGGACGGCAGTTGCACTAAAAATTTTATTTTCTTCATGTAAGCTATATGTATACATATGCATACGTTTGTAAATAAATTTGTCGAAATTTTCGGAGCCAATAATCCGTTAAATCTGTAAACAATTTTAAGTCTTGAAAAAAGAAATTGGACAACTTTTTGTTCCATACCAAATTCCCTTTATTTTTTAACAATTAGACATTATAGCTCTTGCGATTCATCTGGAATCGAAGCAATCGGCATTGAACACTATCAGTGCCGCCCCATGGGGTTCCTCGGTCCCTTGCAGCGCGATACCATATGCGGTGTGATAGCAACCCGTGTCGCACGGCCGACACGCAAGCGATATTATGTCGCAGCAGTGCCGCTGTCGTGCAAGTGTGCACAGTTTTCATCGCTTCTTACCAATTCACACGTACTCAGCATATCGATGTCGCTTTCGTATTGTATCGCGTATCGTATCGCATATCGTACCGCTCTAATGTGCACCGTGCCTGACAGAATGCAAATCGACGGGTATAATTGGAGGAACCTGCGCTCAATCGACCCTAAACACGTCCCACGAATCGCGCATACCGATAGCATAGTGAGAGCTCGGGCTTACGGAAAATTTCCTTGAGGTGGCCACAGAACCTATTCTTTTATACCATTGGAGCACTTCCAACTCCAGCTGGTAATATAAATTTTGACGAGAAACACGTGCCACCAGAATAGGCTCTGCGGCATGTGACTACTGTCGCAGCTATCGTGAGGATAAAGAAAACGAAACATTGAAAACTTGATTCGCCACTTCACTGGGCTGGATAGACTTAGGCGACGATGTCTCTATCAACACTTTTTCAAGTGCCTGTTAGATTTAAGCTTGACGAAAATCTGTAAATTATGGCACTTGATTAGTCGATCTTGTTAATTTTATTTCTCGTTAAATTGTCAAAATCAATGCCGAAGTAATTAAACGGTTTCAAAACGGGCCTTGAGCCTAAATGCGCCTCCATCAGGGACCTACCTGGATGTGGGCAGTTACCACGTATAATTATCTTTTAAGACCATGTCATAGTCTCCATAGGAATGATTACCTCCAAATTGAATGAAAATTTCGTCTTCATCGATAAACAAGGTAGCACAATCGCTGTTAAACTGCTGTAAATCGCTATAAGCAGCCTTTTTGGTGCAGCAATTATTTTGTGGTCCCAAATGGCTCTCTCTCAGACTTTACTTTAAGTTTCTGCATCGGTTCACTCAAATCGCAGTAGGTACTAAGGACCGATCAGCAAACTAAGTTAGACCTTTAAATATCCACTCTTTAGGAAGGTTATACATACATGTGAGTATAGTTACAATAACTTGACACTTGAAGAGCATCCAGCAGGGACAGCAGGGGGTGGTACGAAAAATTAATTACAAATTGTCAACAAAATTCACACGCGTACAATGACAGTATTCAGAGCGACAGAAAGAAGTGAATCAAGAATAGAGAGCTGCAGTTGGAGGACTAGGTGCAAAGTAGAAGCAAAATGACTACGGCAGAGTCCAGCAAATTAAATTCGGTTTAAGTGATAAGCATTGAGCTGACAAACAAACAAATACGCACTTGTGTTGTGTATGTGTGCTAAGATACCAACTGCTTTGAATAAGCAGAAACAGAGTAGAAGCGTAGTGCCACAACAATTGATGTTGTACGCTGTATTGCCGCATATGTATGCACGCATGTAAGTATGTACATACATATATGCAATTCTTATTGGTTGACGAGTGTTGTCGTTGCAGTCATAAATGCAAAGAAGGCAAAATTTATTTAATAATTCTACCTTGATGCAGCAGGGAAGCACACACGCTGCAGAAAATATTATTCTATGTATTCTATCATTCTTGGGAAACACATATGTATGTATGTATGTAATGTATATTTTATCTGCTGCTTCGAACCAAGTCTAATATCTAGCAACACAGCAACATGTTGCGCAAATTGCATGTTGCTGTCGGACTAGCTGTTAGTAGCTGGCAATAACACATTGCAACAAATTTCAAAAAATTGAAGGTAATTGGAATCGGACCAGCTGCATTCGATTAAGCTGATCAAATGATGAAAAATTACAGAAGGATTTGTAAAAGATGGTTATCATTTTTGTTATATCGATTTGAAGTTGTAGATTCAAAAAGGGTAGGCAGTTTTATGCCCATTATATTTTAGTTTAATAAAGTGCATGTTTCAATTAGCTAATAATTCACGTTGATTTTTAATACTTTTTTTTGGCTGATGTTGAAAGGCATTGTTTCCACACGTTTTTATGTAAAAAAAAAATAGGAGAAATCAGCGCCATTTTCTAATCAGTTGAAACTTGCACTTTTTTATACTAAAATTTAATAGGCTTTAAACCTGCATACCGGAAATTGTAAAATAAAAAGAAAAATTCATTTTGGTGGAATTATTTTTTTAACTACAATTTCAAATCGATATAGAAAGTATGATAACTAATTTTTACAAATCCTTTGGTATTCATTCATATTTTGACTCCCCTAAATGAATGCAATTGGTTTCATTCCCATTACTTTTTGTGTGTGGCACTGTGTAATAAATCGCCATGGTATTTCAACAACAATAACAATAAACGCTTGAAGCTCGGAACTGGGCTAGACGAGACAGCTAGTATGTAGAATGCAGCAAGAAGGCAAGTACTTTGAGCGCCAGACAAATGTGTTATGTGATGCGCAT